TGGGGGGGGAGGGGAGGCTCCCCCCAGCAGACCAGGGAGACGCGGAGCAAAGCCGCGGAGCACGCGGGCAGCGGGACAGCCCAGACGCACCCAGACAGCCCAGTCCCACCACTCCAGTCCTCCGGGGCGAGAAAAGCCCCGTTCGTAACTTCAGATCCGTCATAAGTCGGATCCGCATAACTCGGGAACTGCCTGTATAGGCCTATCAACAGGGGGAGGAAAATGGGTAACTGTCTTGGGGTCTGGTGATTCAAAGCGGTCCGGGGGTCCCCATTGCTGCCCAGACGCACCCAGACAGCCCAGTCCCACCACTCCAGTCCTCCGGGGCGAGAAAAGCCCCGTTCGTAACTTCAGATCCGTCATAAGTCGGATCCGCATAACTCGGGAACTGCCTGTATAGGCCTATCAACAGGGGGAGGAAAATGGGTAACTGTCTTGGGGTCTGGTGATTCAAAGCGGTCCGGGGGTCCCCATTGCTGCTGTTGAAGCAGCAGATGGAGCACCCGGCCCTATAAATCACCACTGGAGGGCTGGCAGGGTGGATCTGGGGACTTGCCTTCCTCCTCTCTTCCACCCCCCCCCCCTCTTCTGCCAGAGATCCCACCCCTTCCAGAAGTGCAGAGTCATCATCCTGCTCTTGCCAAAGGGCTGACAATAATGTTGCCCCCTTTGAAAATACATTTGATGCATGACATGTAGATAACAGAGATTCTTCTTATAATGCATGCAACTGATGGAGTGGTGTCCTGTAGGGACAAGTTTTTTAAAAATGCTTTGGCATCCAGCAGCTGACCTTGAAAATATATCCAGTTAAGCCCAAAATTTCTTTCTGTCTAATGAAGAATACCTAGGAATATTGACAAGGAAGGGGGTTGAAGAGGAAAGAACTGATAGCTTCTCCTAACCCATAGTAAGTTAAGGGGAGTTCCCTTCAGGCAGCCAGCGTGGATCTTTGCATGTCCATTACACGTATGTCAAACCTGAAATTCTCATGTATACATTATGGAAGGGAAAAGCAATGTGCTCCCCCAAAGACTCAAAACAGAAAGCAAATAACTTCCCTTCCCACACAATTGATTTTAATCACATGATTTTTGGGTGTTTGACTCAGATTTTTGAAAGTTTGAGATTGGCAATTCTGGATTTGTTCGTTATATATTGTAGTGGGGGAGCTGCTGGTGCTCTTTTCTTGGGATTCCTCTCTTTTAAATCCATCTCCCAGCTGCTGCTTGTTTTCTCCTATACTTTTTTCATTCCTGAACTCTCAATCAAAAATCAGGAAAGAGAAGGTTAAGGACCTTAAGTGTTCAGATTGTCTATTGTAAATCTTATCTGAAAGTATCACAGTGATCCTTGGTAATGAACCAGATCCCCAATGACCTGACATAAGTGTACTTCCTACCAAACTATCACCATATAAAGGAATCTGAACTTAATTTGAAATGGCTCTGCCAGCAAAACCCTTGCTGTAGATGCAGTTATACGAGCAAAAAAACAAATAAAAAACTTTTACCAATGTGGATTATTTTATTTTGGCAATTAGTTTAATATATATGAACAGAAAAACACTTTTGCCAATATAATCTCATCTTTACAAGGGCTTTCCCCAGGAATCTGAAGCCGTTTGAAGGTAGTACAGTATACATCAGAACAATAGGTGGGACAGGCTACGAAGTGAGTCTGTAAAAATTAAAAGGAGTTTTGTTAATGAAGCAGGAGTCTGGAGGAAGAAAGGATGTTCTCCTGAGATTCAGTCCAGTGCCCTACATACAAGAAGAGAGTTCTGTTCCTTGCTCCATATGGTACTAGGAGAGTTGCTTATTTCATAGCTTCTTATAGCCATTAATAGGATTCTGCAATTTGCAGCACAAACTACTATAATATTTTACTTAAAAAAATCCCCAAATGTACAATACCTTCTTCAAAACTTCTACAGGTCTTACATAATAGCACACAATTCTTAGTATTGTAAGTTTTGAATTACTTTAAATTCGGAGTTACTAAATTTAAATTGAACAGGAATAATGAATGACAGATGATTATGTTGTCTACTTGTGTTTTTTATATAGGAAGCTATTGAATCATTCAAAGAAGCCTTAAAGCAGAAAGCTGATTTCATAGATGCATATAAGAGTCTGGGACAGGCCTACAGGTAAGCATGTTCAGAAATAACTTGTATGTATCACTGGCTTAAAGCCCCTAGTACACGGTCAGCACTACAGATCAATAAAAATAATACAATAGTGTTATTTAATTTAGTTTTTTCTATATTTTGATTTTATTGTTGATAGTTATTAAGCATGGACTTCAGAGTTGAGCTTAATATAAATAAAACAAAAGGCAAAGAGGTTTTAGCACAATCCAAAGTAAACAGGTCACTTAGGCTACATCTAGACAGCGGGGCTATTTCAGCATATCGGAAGTATCCCGAAATAGCAATTCCACATCTTTAAACATGCCTGTTATTTCAAAATAATGCAGGCATTATTCTGGCATCATTGTAACCCTCATTTACATAGCATAAATTGTGTAGCTTCTTTTGAGGTAAGTGTGCAGTGTATATATACCCTTAAGGTATATCTGCACTGCAGTCAGAGATATGATTGCAGCTTGGGTAGGCATATCCCAGATAGCTTTAATCTAGCTAGTACAGCTAAAAATACAGGTTGAACGTCTGGCATCCTCAGGACCTGACCAGTGCCAAACCAGAGAATTTACCAAACCACAGGGTATCAATATTGTCTAGCAGTATTACTAACACTTCCACTGTTTATTGGGCTCTTCAAAGACATTTGGGGGTAAATCAGAGCTAAATAACAGCACAGAACACTGAGCGTCAGGACTGATAGCTGTAAACAAATTTTATGGGACCATGGGAAACTTGGCCACATCCCTGATAAGTGGACGTCTGGCTAACTAAAACTGTGCTGGACCATGGATGTTGCCCGACTGGAGAATGACAGATTAGAGAGGTTCAACCTCTGTAGCAGTGTAGCTGTGGGCCCTGGCATAAGCTAACAATGCAAGTTATGTACCCAGAAGGGCTTGTACAGTCCATGCCTACATGCAGGGTTGTCCTTAGCACAATCAGTATACGCAGTTGCATGTGACTAGGTTACAGCTCCGGTGGCCCCATCCCCTGATCACCCCCTCCCCCATTTTCCTGTAGGCTCGGTGTTGGAACTCCACCCTTTTCCCCCAGCTGTGCCCTATACCCACTCACCAGGCGGTGGTGAGCAGCACAAGTGTGGGCTGGGAGGACTCTGGAAGAGCAGAGGGCAGCTGTGCAAACTAGTGGCTGGAGAGAAGCAGCAGCTTCCCCTCCAAAAAACCTCTTCTGTCCACCTGGGTGCAGAACTGCTCTTCTGACCCGTATTCGCACTGCCCTCCGCCGCTTGTGCCTCCCTCCTGCTGCCCTGAGGTTCCAGGTTAGCCTCGCTCCCTGCTCTGCTCCGCTCCAGGGTTATCTACTCTCCCAGACCGAACACCATTGCAGCAAATAACATCTGGCCCGGGAAAATTGAAAACCACCTTCCCTCCTCCTCTTCTCCATTCCCCCACC